CACACTGCTGTCTCATATGATTGTCCACTAGGAATCCGAGATCCCTCTCTGATTGAGCCAGATACCATCTATTCTATATCTGTGCATTTGGTTTTTCTTGCCTAAATATAGAACCTTACTTTTCTCACCATTGGCTTTCATTTCGATAGATAGGGCCCAATGTTCAAGTCTGTTAAAATCCTTCTTGTATCTTAAGCCTGTCTTTTGAAGTGTTGGCTATTCCTGCCAGCTTGGTGTCTTGCAAATTTGATGAGTTCTTCGTTGTTACTGCATCCACCAATAGCTATCCTGCAATCTTGTTCTGGTAACATATGCCTTCTTGATGGGATTGTGGGACTGAGAAATCCTTCTACAAGGCCATGCAGAACTGTTTGCTCAGCATTTCTCAGACAAAATCACTTTGTTCTCTGTTGAATGTTGGCCTTGCTACAAGTCTTAGACAGACACCCAGGGCATTGCTGTTTTAAATGGTATCAGTTTGAACATGTTGAACCTGAAGACGTGGACAGGATCATTAGGCCTGTAGGTTGCCCACGTGTTTTTTTGGATCTTTGCTATCTATTTGGAATAATAGTTGCCCAAAAGGTGTTTTGTGGTTAGGTTCTGGCAGTGATGAATTCGTCCCTGAGTGAGAGATTTGTTCCTCCATTGGTGCACCCCACTCCTCAAGAAACTATTTCTGAATCTTACCATACTTAACTTTCTTTGCCTAGCATCTAACCTTCCCTTTTGAGGGAAGCTGATTGAGAATGTAGTTAGGTAGCAGCTTCAAAGATCTCTGGATGAAGCAGATTATTTCAGTTAGAATTTAGGCCTGGAATGGAAATCTTTTTTTTTTTTTTAATGATTTCTGATGGTGGTGGGTTGAAGATTGTGCATCCATTCTTGTTCATCTTGACTTCTCATTGGCTGTCAGTACCATTCAGTATCCTTCAGACCAGCTATAGGAAATGGGTGGGGAATCAGTTCTTAAAGGTAGGTGAACTTTGTTTTACTGGTTCTCCTCCTTTTTTTCGCTTCATATGAGTGGCTGGGAAGAAGAGATCCTGTCCTCTGCCACTTCTTTGTGGGATTCCACAGGGTTCTGCACTCCCTTCTTTCCTCTTCATTATTTACCTGAAGCCACTAAGAGGCTAAGAAGTGTGGTATCATCAATCTGTGAATGTGTATTTACAACACATTTTTGATTAAGAAATGTTTGTTCTTAAATGCGCATGAAAGAGAATTTTACAGTTCTTAACATAGGCCTGGCCAGGATTTTTATTCATTATATGATGGGATGGAGGAAATGATCATTATTTTCTCTAAAGATTAATAATTATTTGAGATCCACTTGCAATTATAACAGTGTTGGACTTTTTCCTACGGTGCCAATTTTCATCTGTATCTTACAAGACTAACTTGTCTTGATACACAATACTTAGGAGCAAATACAAAACCTGCTTGGTTATACCACGTTTTCTACATAATATTTATTAGCTTTCCAGAATGCTATATTTCTTTGGGCTAAGATGAATGTGAGAAACATTTTCAGGGAGAAAAGAAATGTTGGGCATCTAAAATCTTTCCCAAGAAGTTTAAAAAAAAAAAAAAGTTAGCTTTCTTTCTTTTAGAGATTCACAATCTTTAATCAACTGTTTTTGTGTCAGCCTAAAACTCATTAAAATAAGGCTAGATATATTTTGAGAGTAAAGGCAACCCTTCCATATTTTTCTGAAAATGCTATTGTTTAAATGTCTGTCAACATTATTAAAAAATTTACACAAGTCAGTCTAAGTTAGTTAAAATTAGATGCAGATTGGATCAGTTTGGACAGAAATGGGGTTGGGCAGAAATGTTTGGAAGCTGATCCATTAGAGCTAGGCCAAGTTCATCTTCTTGCTGTCAGGCCTCTCCTGACTTTCTATTTCTTTATAACAAACTCACTTTGATATTGGTTATCAGTTTTCTCTTTAATCAAGCTTTCAGTCTCATATTTTTGGAATTCTCTCTTCAAAGATACATACTTTTGATTCTTAAAGGAGAATGAAGGTCAATGCTCACCTCTGCTTGTGAAAAAGAAATGGAGCAATAAGGGCAGAGAGATTGACAGGTTTGATCAGTAATTTTTAGTAAAACTCAGATCTTCATAGCAGCCTTCCAGAGACTCATATTGCTCCTATCCTCCCATCATGTAAAAAGTAGTTAAACATCTCATTGCTTTACTCCTTGGGTAAGGGTAGCAAGCTGGTACAGATAGTCTTCAAATTACAATCATTCATTTTTTAACCATTTGAAATTGCAATGGCACTGGAAAAGGTGACTTAAACTTACACTTAGGACTGTCACAGCATCCCCATGCTTAGCAATTAGCATATATTTACAATGGTTGCAGCATCCCATGATCATGTGATCACCATTTACTACCTTTCCAACCATGCTTCCCACAAAGTCAATGGGTAAAGCCAGATTTGCTTAACAGCTGCATGATTCACTTAATAACTGCAGTGATATGCTTAACAACCATGGTAAAAAAAGGTTATGAAAGGTTATACTATAACTGTCTTGCTTAGCAATGGAAATTCTGGCCCCATCATAACATTATGGACTATCTGTAGTAGCTTTTTTTCTATTCAGTTATAGTGTAAACATGTCTCTGGTATGTTTTCTGTTTGGTTTGTTGTTTTTTATATTTTTATTGCTATAAGCTATCCGGTCAACATGGCCTTATAATCTTGATAATCAAGGATGTCATTGTTTGGAAATTTAGCTATCCGACTATGATATTACATGTTTCTGACTTGTCTCATTCCTGACTGCAAGATAAAGGTTTTGTACATCGTGATAATTAAGGAAAAGTTCAATGTCTCTCACAACAGTTTCTCTTTCTCTAAGCATATGTTGATCTGGCCAGTCTGGGAACAGTTTTCATGAAATAATTGTTTTAGTTTTTAATAATGTTATTGTATTTTACAAAGTATACACATAAAACCATAAACTAATATTAATTTGTGATATAGTTGCTTATTTTTGCATCATATCTATTCACTTTCCCCATAAAAAAGAATTTTAGTATAGCAAAACTTGCACTTTTCATTTTTAAAAAAATCCTAACTAGGTTTACTTTGAAATGACTCTTACTATATTTCATTCATTTTTCTTTGATTCAAAAGAGTGAAGGAGTTTCATTTTATTCATCCTGAAAAAGGAACTTAATTAGTTACATAGTAAACCAAATAAAACAATTGTATTTTGATTACTAACTTATATTACTCATGATCTTGCAGAACAGAGTGCAGGGAGCTCTCTAACTATGTGAGAAAAAGCAGCTAAACAGTGCAAATTGTATTTAACAGCCAATTGAAGTTCATAAAATAATGTACTTTTTTCCTGCTACTGCAGAAGTGGTGGCCATTGCATTTTTTCAGAATGCTTTTCTAATTTCCAGTAAGCCCTTTAGCTCTGATATTCTTTGGAGATCTTTAAGTATTAACCATACATGACCAGCTTAATTTCCTGGCCCAGGCAAGGCTACCCTGTTGCTGCCATGTGCCAAGATGCTGCTAACTTTCCATAACAAAAATAACAGGACTTGCAGCTTTTAGGACTCATACCTTTTATTACTTACAGCTGTCAAAAAGTTAACTTTTTTTTTTTTTGCAAACCTAGATGAGAATAATTTGTAGTTGCTGCTTAATAAGAAAAACTGCATTCAGTGTTCTGTGATTTTTTCAATATAAGTATTTTATATACAGTCTTTCATCCTAACCGAAATTTGCTTTTTACTACCATTGTAATTCTAACACTATATGTATTCAATAATTAAAAACTGAATTTTATTGTAAAATGTAATAAATACTGAAACTAATCTTTCAAAAATTCATTTTCTAATCAATTTTATTATCTGAAAATTGCATACCACTCTGGAAAAGTGGGAAACTTTGAAAAGTGCTGCAAGATCATTATTGTAATTATCCTGCAATGACAAATATTATACAGCTGGCAAAATTATATTGTTAGTAGTATCATTACAACAGGCCAAAATAGATTTTATGTTAGAGTGACCAACAGAGATGTTAAATATATGAAATCAGCTTTGGGATCAATCATTGGTAGTGTTGCCTTTAAACCTGCACTTGAGCTGACAGGACAGATTTAATAGCTTGAGATGGATTGTTTGGGTGAAGCAAAGGAACAGTTTTAATCTCTTTCAATAAGGCTATGCAAGACATTTGAAAAAATAAGCTTTACAAAAGATACTACAAAACCAGGTTTTCTCAAAACTTCATAGTAGATACGCTATTTGGAAGAAGTGCAAGGCTGTTTGAAGGCTGCCCCTAGCGATGATGCACAGCTGCTTCACTGCACTTTTAGAAAAAAACAATTGGGGACCGTCTTTGAAACAGACATAACAACTTTCTTAAAAATATAGCTGAATTAACATTTCAAGGGCTGCTGCTTGATAGGCTTGGCTGCCTTTGTAGATATCCAATCATCGAGAACTTACTTTTTTTTTTTCAAAATGGAGAAGAGGGAGGATGCCTAAACCCATCAGTCAAAGCAATCTGCCAATTGCAATATTACTGTGTTGGGCAGTTGTTTCTCTATTGGCTGGTGGTATAAAGGGGAGGATAAAGCAAAGCCGGAGGGTTTGCTTAGTATTTCTTGCACACCCAGAACCAGAATACCACCATTTGCTGGCAAACCAGAATAGAGGTAGGAGAAAAATTTATGCATTTTACACCAATATAATTGTTTTCCTATGGTGAACAATTAGATAGAATTTTGTATTGCTGTATTGCTTTTATTTTCTTTTATATTTCATATTGTCTATACATTGTGGTAAATTATGCATTTTATGAACATTATTGTCAGAATTATTGTTGATTGGGTACATTTATCCAATTAATTTCTGTGAAGTAACTTATCATATTTTCTGAACATTTTATTCAACTATGGAATACACCAAACAGATATTAAGTCAAATACTTATTATTTGACTTATTTTTCCCCCCCTACAGTTGCATTGAAATCAAGGAGTCCAGCAAAGCCTGAAAGAAATAGCATGCAGGACAGCAACAGCACCATGCAGACCAGAGGGAGAATGCATATGCTAGAAGGTGAACTTTTGCTGCAGGTAATTATCATCATTACTTTAAATATTTCAAAGGAATTCCTTATAGCAATGTACAAATAAACTTTTTTATTGTAAAATGCCTTAGGTCTGCCCAGTTATTATTATTAATATAGTTTTTGGAGTGTCCTTGGAGGTTTTCTTCTTTTTTTGTTGTTGCTTTTTCTTGCCTTTCTTTTGTTTTCCTACTTCAGTAAAAGGACTCACTTCACAAGTTTCATGGACTTCTGTGTTGCTAATCTCTTAACATAATTGCTTGCCATTTGAGGTAGAGTTATGGAATCATCCATTGTGGAAATTCTTCACAGGTCTTGGTTGTCCCAATGAGCTTTTCCAAAAAGCAACTGCACTTTTTTTTTCTTTGAAAACATTTCACTTCTCTTCCAAGAAACTTCTTCAGTTCTTTAGAACAGAAGAAACTTCTTGGATGAGAAGCAAAATGTTTTCAAAGGGGAAAAAAACCCCAAGAAAGTCCAGTTGCCTTTTGGAAAAGTATCTTTGGGAATCATCCATCATTTCTCCACTGGTTTAACAGGACAGCATACTCTTTCCCAGCCCAGATTATACTAGTAAATGATTTATAAATAAATAAATTTTGCCTGGCAATTAAACAAATGTTGGATAATAGCTTGGTTGCAATTCTTCTGGCAACAAATTGCAGTTCTTTCCCTAACAGCTCAAATTAAGGGACATTCTTATTTTGTGCAATGTATGAATCCACCCACTGTTAAGTTTTATATATGAATTAGCACACTGGTTTTCTGAAAATCTATGATTGAAAAATCTTGCTTTAGTGCCGTTTAGCCACTGTATGTCAATGGCTAAAAAATTAGTCTCTATTTGAATCCTTCTGGTTGCCTATCAGGTTTTGCCTTTATATTTAATTCTTGTATCAGTGTTAAAAAATGCCTGTCAAAACATAAAGGTTTTTTTTTCAGATTATTTTTTCTATTTCATCCCCTAGGTCCCTTAAAAAACTATTCATAAAAACCAGTGTGCTTTCTAAAGTGTTACTTTAAAGTAATAGGTTTGAACTGGAAAGAAAATTCTACTGCTTTGTGGAAATATTTTAGTATTTATTAAATTTTCATATGAATTCTAATCTTAATGTTAGGGTTTAAAATGTTTATTACCAGTTCTTATAACTTTTAATCTCTCTCTCTCTCTCTCTCTCTCTCTCTCTCTCTCTCTCTCTCTCTCTCTCTCTGTGTGTGTGTAAAAAAATCAGTGGGTGTGTTCACAAAGTGCTGTTAAGATTAGTATATCACACTATGGCTATTTTGTGCACTAGTAAATTATTTGACTTATTTAAAATCCTTTTAAAACCATTGTTGTTGTTTTTTTAAACCATGTTGCTGTTGTCTTTAGGCATTAAATGGCTTTGTGGTAGTGGTCACATCAGATGCCCACATATTTTATGTGTCTTCTACAATCCAGGATTATTTGGGCTTCCAGCAGGTATGCACTTTAATTCTAGATTTTTTTTAAAAAAAACACCATATTATTACTATATTATCATTATTTAGTGAAATGCAACTTTTTAAATATTATTTCCTTGGTTCATTGAAGGAATAGTGCAGTGTATTAACAATCCAGGAAGTTCTTGTAAGTCTCATTTTAAAGAAAACTATTCATTTTTTCTCTCTATTAAAACTGGTTTTTTTCCCAGAGCTGTTAACCCCTTAGAGCAGGGTTAGTCAACCTTGGCTCTTTTATGACTCATGGACTTCAACTCCCAGAATTCCTGAGCCAGCTGTGCCAAGGTTGACTACCCCTGCCTTAGAGCATAGTAAGTTAAGGTTTGTCCTCAGTATGTCTCTCCCTAATGTTATCTACTGCTTGCATAGATAACAAGCATTCAAATGAATATAAGAGTCCTTAATAATTAAATGTTATTAAAAAGGCAACATGGTGGCTTAAATATATATTAAAGTTCTTAAACTACTAAATAAATGTAACTTTATTTAGATTATTCAGATTACAGATTCTCCACATTCTGTGGATGAATGGGCTAGCAATAGATACATTTCCCATGTTCACATTAGTTCTAAAGAGACACACTCCAGACTCCTTTCTGTTCCACATACTTGTAGTTATCAATTGAAGAGAATATTTGGAGTTCAGATTTGAGCTGTGGTATCCTTGTGGCTCTTTGAGCTTGGTTGTTTTGGCTACAGAGATTGGTTGTTTTCTTGCATACAATGAAACGTCTGCAAAAAAACAACCAAGCTGAGAAGGCACCAAGGACTCCATATTTCTAGATTCTAGATGTTTAGTTTATCTTATGCTTAGTCTACCCTTTCTTCGCTAGTAGTATTGTTCCAAAATGATTTTTAAAAAATCTTTAACTTATTCAGTAGGTTTTTATGCAAATAATTTTTCAATTATACTGAGATAAACTGTAGCACTTATTCTAGTAATCAGATTTGATGAATAAAATGCCTGAAATATTTTTATTACTATTTCTTTGATGTAGTCTGACATTATACACCAGTGTGTATTTGAATTAATTCACACAGAAGATAGACCAGAATTCCAACGTCAGATTCACTGGGCTCTTAATCCTATACAGTCCACAGATTCTGGACAGATAATGCAAGGTGAGGATCTAATAGCTGCAAGTAATTACATATGCTTCAATGAAAGATAATCAGTTTAAAATTTGCAGATAACTGAAGAGGTACTTCATAATGCATTTGCTACTTTACATTAGAGGACTACATCTATACAACAATGCCTTAATTTTATGCATCTGTCAGTTTTTAAAGGAAAATTTAAAAAATTGCAATCCCTTTAAGAAGAAGCATAATCTGGAATGAATAGAAGAAATAGCTACCACTTATTTTTTTAAATACATGTCATTTGTATAGAATATATAGTTTACTTTGCTAATAAATATTTGGTACATTAAATTTAATTTATTCAGACAATAATTATAAATTAGAATTGATTTTCCATATGATCAGTGTGAGATGGGTAGGTAGGTAGATAGGTAGGTAGGTAGGTAGGCAGACAGACAGACAGATAGATTTGTATATTTAGAAGTGAGTAAAATTGAAAACAGAAACAACCAACTGTGGGAAAACAATTGAAATTTTCTGTTATGAACAAAAGATTTCATGTGTTTTCAGGAAAGAAAAGCTGAGGAAAAAAAGTCTAAAAATACATACCTTGCCACATAAAACTTAATCTCATTTTCTGAAGTTTGAAATATTGTCACTAGTAACAGCTATGCGTGTTACAGAAATAAAATGTCACAGTTAAATAATAATAAAATTAATTGAATACAACAGTATTAATATTTCACTTAATTGTTATTCACTCACTTTTTGTTGTTTTATCCCTTTTTGTTTGCTTCATCCCTATTTCATCCATTAGCATGCCATTCAAAGACTGGTTGGGCAAAGATTCCCTTAAACTGCAAATTCTGTAATTCAGATCTTCTTCAAAGAGGTTCTAAGGTTATATTTTCCCCTATAGGAGATAATGGCTTTCAACAATCAGCAACATATTACAACCCTGAACAGCTACCTCCAGAGAATTCGTCCTTCATGGAGCGAAATTTCATTTGTAGGTTACGCTGTCTCTTGGATAATTCATCTGGATTTTTGGTGGGTACAGAAATATGTGATGTAAATTAATGATTTAATTTCTCATGATGGCAATGCTCTATGGCAAATCTTTGGCTTATATCCTCTCCACCACACCTTCCTTATCCCATGCATGTAAAAGCCTGTTGCCACAAAAACAATATGTAATATTGTGCTAATTAAGCAACAAGATTGTGTTGACCACAAACAATAAGTGAAAATTGATTCCATGCTGATTAAAAGTAGCTAAATTTGGTAGGTGTTATTATGCCTCAAGTTATTATGCTGCAATTTGGGTAAAGTATAATTTGATGTGTTTCATAAGAAATCTGCAGTTGTGGCATTCTACTAGCAGAAATTTTATGTTGATAAGGGTTTGAAATTGAAAAAAGCATTCCATTATAGAGAGGTATTAGAACTCATAAAAGTTCTTGTTCTATCAATTTTCCCTCATTCCCAGAAAAGTAAATGGAACTGATGAGGGCAGGCAATCTACAGAAAATTTGCAAGAAGATTTTTGAAAGAATTCTGAAAATATAGTTCTAAATAGCATAGGAAATAATATAAATCAAATATACATGCATTCTGAATGCAAGAAGAATTCCCTTGATCTTTTGCATTATTAATTTGGCCTGTACTACCAGGAAATAAGAGCAATAATTAATCAGATTCACTTCTACATAGCAAAGCAATGAATAGCAAAGCAAAGGAAAATAGCCAAAACATTACAAAGGTTACTAAAACATTACTAAGTTCGAGAATGCACACATTGCAAACAGTGCTTTATGAATCTTCAATATCTGGAAAAGAATAAACAGAAGACAGACAATGCCATTACATTAACTCATAAATTAAACTTTATATTTTCCATAGTAAAATGTTTAGACATAGCAATATCCTATTTATTAGGCAGGCCAGAATGAATTTTCTTAAATCAAAATAGTTTTAATTACTGTTAATTTCCTACCCTGAATTTACTACTTTTGTAAAGAAATTAAGGAAATGAATATACATAATACTCCTTTCTCCTCCTATTTTTCCCACAACAACAACCCTATGAGGTGGGTTGGGCTGAGAGAGAATGATTGTCCCAAAGTCACCCAGTCGGCTTTCATGCCTAAAGTAGGATTGGAACTACACTTTCCTGGTTTATCCTGGTGCTTGAACACTAGACCACACTGGATCTAAATTTTGGGCTTTAGGATAATTACATGGCACCTATCTTAAAACATATCCTTTAGCAGTTCACAAGAAGCCCTTTATTTTATGGATATCATAACACATTCTATAAGAATATGAGAAAGACCAGAGTTCCAGTAAAAAAGATGGTGTGCTTATGTCTCTCCTTCAAATAATGCCATTTCTTCAATATGCATAATGATCACAGTAGGAGATTGGAGTGCAGTCCTTTAAGTTGTCAACTGAATGGCTTCCAGTAGTTAAACATGTTTTTACATGTTCACCTCAGAGCCCTTGCACATATGTCTGATTATCTTGGATTTTTTTAAGGCTATTTCATTGCCACACATAATGAAAAAGAAAGCATGGGATAATCATAAAACTTCCTTAGTTATTATTCTGAGGCAAACCTTTAAATGTCACATGACTGAAAAGTAACTCCCAAGAGTTTGAAGGATCCAAGTCTTTTTTTCTGTCTTTACTATCATTTCTGTCTTGACATAATAGAAGAGAAAATGGTCAGATTTTAAATTTCCCTTGAAACACTGCTTTGTACCATAACATTGAAAAGAAAAGAAAAAAACCCTGCTTTTCTTGAATAAAGATTTCAGCAAACAGGTTGCTTGAGTTTTCGTATTTGACCTGCAGTCAGAAAATATCACAAAGTATTTTAATTTTGAGTAATAATTAATAGTGTATCAAGAAATGTTAACATTAATACAGATAGTCCTGGACTTAACGACCACAACTGAGCCCAAAATTTCCATTGGTAAACAAGACAGTTGTTAAGTGAGTTTTGTTCCATTTTACAACCTTTCTTACCACAGTTGTTAAATGAATCACAACAGTTATTAAATTAATAACATGGTAGTTCTGTATTTCCCTTGTCAGAAGGTCGTAAAAGTGACCACATCACCCTGGGATACTGAAACTGTAATAAATATATGCCAGTTGCCAAGTGATTGAATTTTGATCATGTGACTACAGAAATATTGTTAAGCAAATCACAATTGTTAAGTGAATCATGCAGTTGTTAAATGAGTCTGGCTTCCTCCATTGACTTTGCTTATGGCTGGGAAGGTTACAAATGGTGATCACATGACCTCAGGACAGTACAGCCATCATAAATATACGCCAGTTGCCAAGCGTCCAAATTTTGATCACATGACCATAAGAAAACTGCAGTGGTCGTAAGTGTGAAAAACAGTTATAAGCCACTTTTTTCAGCACCATTGTAACTTCAAACAGATGACTGTTAAATTCAGGACTTTCTGTAATAAGTGAATTGCATATTTTTCTTTCATGTTCTTTTTAACTCCAGTTGCCTTTTGTGAAGAGTTAAATATGGATTAAAATTAAAGAATATGATTATTGCTTTGTTCTTTCTTCTAAAGGCTATGAATTTTCAAGGGAGATTAAAGTTTCTCCATGGTCAGAACAAGAAAGGGAAAGATGGAACTGTTATATCACCTCAGCTGGCTTTGTTTGCAGTGGCTACTCCACTTCAGCCCCCTTCCATTCTTGAAATTCGTACAAAGAATTTTATTTTCAGAACCAAACATAAGCTGGACTTCACACCAACTGGATGTGATGCAAAGTAGGTTAAAAAATAATAATAATGAATATTATTGTGCATGTATGCTGAATTGCATACTATAATTTCAAATAATAATTGCTAAGACTAATCATAACCCACTGATACTTTTCAAAGAATAGATTTTAGCCCTATATTTAGGAAGGTAGCTGTATTTAGATAGGTCATTTTTCTAACAACTGTTGTTAGCAAAATCCTCTAAATTATGTTAAATTCAGTTTTCTGCTTCACATTACTATTTTGTTTATTTATTTATTTAATATTCACCTTACCTTTCTCCAGAAAGTATTTCCAGACAATTTCAACATCAATCACAAAAGTAGGATAGTTATATTCTTAAAGCTTTCTTGGGGATTCTGAAAGGTGCATCCCTTTTAGAATGGCCTCTTGAGCATTACTAAAAGGGAGGACAGCATTATTTGTAACACCCTCCCACCAAGAAGCTGTTCTGCTTCTGGGAGTAAGTAAAACAGTTGTCTTAATCTCTGCAGGTGACATGCCCCAGAACAATTTTTTCTTTCCCCCCAAGGTTCGGAAAAGTCATAAATCCTGGTCAGAACAACCCCTGCTGATTCTGTACACTTCAAGGACTGATATCTTGTGATAGCAACTGCAGATAGCCAGACCATTTTACTTTTTCCCATTATTTAAACAGATGCTCTGTCATTTCCACTCATGCTGTTGTGAAGAACAGTTGTAGTAATGTTCTTGTTTGTAGCTGATCTTTCCAATTGATCTATTGAATACTGATGCTGAGGATGTGGTTAGTATTATTTTTTCTCTGAGTGACTGATAAAAAAATTGTGTCAAATATATCTTGCAGGGGAAGAATTGTGCTGGGTTACACTGAGGCAGAACTTTGCATGAGAGGAACAGGTTACCAGTTTATCCATGCAGCCGATATGCTTTATTGTGCTGAGAACCATGTCAGAAGTAAGAGATATATCTTGATGAGGAGAGAAATAAGTGCCAGAATAAGTTTTTAAGTATATCCTAACATACATTTTTTATTTTTTATTTTATTTTCTTTTCTAACTTTCCTTTAGACCTGTCCTTTTTTTTTACTAAATATACATTTATGTTGGAAGAAGCAATATTTTAATATGCCCATGTGAATTATTTTTATTGAACCTACATTTTGCTTGAACCTACATGTTCTGGTCACATCCCACTCTTTCTTTCTGCTATTAGAAAGATTTTCAGCTAGAATATTATTTCAAAGCATTTTTCCAAAGGCAAAACTTAGAATGTTTTGCTGTATTTTGCTCTATTTAAATATTTTTAAATCAACATTTTATGTTGATTGATAGAACTTCTACTAAAAATGTTTTATCAGAGTTGCTGTTTCTCTTTCCTTAGTGCAAGTAGTGTCATGGTGTTACATTTGTTCTGAGAAGCAGCTCTCTGTTTCACCAATACAGAACAGCAAGTACAGTAAAATACATCTTTACCCTATTTAAATATTGCTCCTCTAATAAGTGGTGGAAAATATTGATAACCAATCTACAGTGGTTGATCTGTTGGGTTCCAGAACTGTTGTAGGTAATTATTAGGATATTTTAAGAGTGTTAAGAGCTTCAACTACTTTGTTTTCATCAAGTTATGGTTTAGCTCAGCTGCATAAGAATTTGATGAAAATATACTAATAAATCTGAATGTTAAATTTAATTAGATTAATTGAAATATTTCTGTGTTTATTTTTAGTGATAAAAACTGGAGAGAGTGGTATGACAGTGTTTAGACTTCTTACCAAGGAAAATCGATGGGCCTGGGTTCAAGCAAATGCTCGCCTAGTTTATAAAAATGGAAGACCAGATTATATCATTGCCACACAGAGACCTCTTACGTAAGTAGCCTCCAAGAGAAGTTTATAACTACCAACTCCTAAATCAGATAAAGCAGCATATAGTAAAATATATCAAGGCTGGCTTCTTTTCCTTATTATTTCAAAATGTTCTTAATTCATATAATTTATATGGTTTGTTTTAAAGTAAATAATCTGAAATGTGTACTGCTGAAAAATCATAGTATCGCCTTTAAATTTTGATTATATGAGCTTAAAATGTTATGGGGACTGCAGAGGGGGGGTTGGAATGCTATATGTGAGTCAGTGTTACCAATCTTACTGGAATAAACTTTGCTATATAACAAAAAATAAATAAGTACTAATTAATTACTATTTACAAATTACAGTTGTCCTTACAAAAGGTAAAAATAAAATAACTAGTATTACAATGGTATCTGAACCCCAAGGTAAGTTGTGTCATTCGACAATGTATGTCATGGAAGAAAGTATGTTAAATGATCTGTGATATTTTGGGGAAAGTGAATTCCTTAAGGTTATTAAACTTGATTCATGGTAGTTTATTCTAACATCTGGGGTTGCCACAAAGAAGAGGGAGTCAAGCTATTCTCCAAAGCAGCTGAAGGCAAGACAAGAAGCAACAGGTGGAAACTAATCAAAGAGAGAAGCAACCTAGAACTAAGGAGAAATTTCTTGACAGTTAGAACAATTAATCAGTGGAACAACCTGCCTCCAGAAGCTGTGAATGCACCAACACTGGAGGTTTTTAAGAAGAGGCTGGATAGCCATTTGTCTGAAATGGTATAGGGTTTTTTGCCTGAGCAGGGTGTTGGACTAGATGACCTCCAAGGTCCCTTCCAACTTTATTACTATTACTATCTGTGGGTTAGATATCAAACTGCCTGGGAAGGATTTTTATCATAGAGACATTTTATGACTAAAATAAAATGTTTATTCAAAAACTCACTACAAATTAATGTTTTTTTAAGATCCTAAGCCTAAACAAGGAAATGAAAATATAATGCTATAATATTAATGACAAAATAATTTAATATGTTCACTTGGTATTTAATTGCTCTTACATTTTACAGAAATGCAGTGGTAGATTAATTATATTATGAATGCTGCTTGCAGACTTTTTATATTTCACATAGCTCTTTGTGGTTGCAATCTTTTTTATACTCTTTTAAATAAATGAAATAATGATTTGTGGCTGTTTGTTTCAAAAAATTCCCCACTACTATTTTATGTTTTAGATTTGAAACAAAAATGCCTCATAGAATCCAAATGTTTTAGAATCAATCATTAAAGGAATCCTTTGTATAATAAAGAGGTTGGAATAAAACTTAATAACAGTATTAATAGAAGCATCCACACAATAAATGTTGATAAAATAGTAAAAATAGAAAATAGGATATGCACAAATTATAAATATGCTCAGTCATTTCCTCTTTTTGAATATTAATCCACTTATATAGATTTTTTAAAGAAATTTCTGTGATAGTATTGGAGGAAGAGGAATCATCATGTAGAACAAACAAGTAAACAAAAAACCCCAAACATTGTAAGCTTGATTTATAAAATAAAAATAAAAAAGCAAATAAGCTTGCTTTGGGAATACAATTCTTGTATGATTGCAAAGAATTTACAGTGATCAATTTAATGATGTGTCTCCCCTATCCTGCTAGTGTTATTTTTACTAGCTTACAGTACATTTCTTATGTATTCATATTTGTAGCTTCTGCATAAAATTCTGTAAGTTCCTATTCTATACAATTTAGACATAGTTAAAATTCATTTTAATAATCTAAAAATAATAGATTATAATCTATTAATCTAGATTTTCTATTAGATTATTTCTGTTCATATTTAGATATTTCACTGCATATTTCAAAATTGAAATTCAATTAATTCTCTTCTCTTTGTGTTTTTCAATTCAGAGATGAAGAAGGGGCAGAGCATTTACGAAAACGTAATATGAAACTGCCTTTCATGTTTGCTACAGGTGAGGCTGTGTTGTATGAAGTAGCATTTCCTCAGCCTGGTATAGTGGATTCATCTCAGACAAAGGTTAGAAGTGGTGTTGGAAAAGGAATTGCTTCCAAGGCTGTACTGTGTAAAGAATCTGTTGATCCCAATTCACTTTTGGGAGCAATGTTGCAGCAGGATGAATCAGTTTATCTTTGCCCACCTGCTTCAAATAAAATCTCTCTTGAGAGGGACTTTTTTGCAGATAGTAGAGGTGAACTGAGCAGCATGATGGCCAGAAATTGGCAGGATGCTTTTTTATCAGGAGGGAATAATAGCATCCTCAAACAGGAGCTGCCTGACTGTCCTCAAGATAGTAACTTGATGGTTCCCGAAGAAAATGTAGGGCTTTTTCAGGATAACAAAAACAGTGAATTGTTCAATATCATGAATATGCTCGAGGCTGACTTTGATGATACAGACATTAGTTTTCAGCCGGACGAGGAGTTTTTTAAGAATGATTTTGCTGGTGTGGATGACATTAGAGACTTTGACATAACTGATGAAATCTTGACCTATGTTCAGGAGTCTTTAAATAAGACAGATGTCTTGTATTCAAGTTGCCAGCAGCAGGAGCCCATGTTTCAGAATTCTGCTTGTTTAATGCAGCAGCAAATAGATCAACAGCAGATATCAACAGTGATGGAACAGCAGCTGCCACAGCAGCTGCCACAGCAACAGCAACTGTGCCAGAAGATGAAGCACATGCAGGTCAATGGTATGTTCACAAACTGGAACTCTCTCAGTAGCACAAGTCTTAACACTTCACAACAGCAGATGCAACCATTTAATTTTTCTGACATACAAGAAATAACTCAGGAGTTTCCTTACAAATCTGAAGACAGTACAGCATCATATGCCTGTAGAGAGGAATATACTCCATACAAGCAACCTACCAGCACTATGTCCCAATTCACAGATTTTACAGAGGTAGACTTTTTCACTGAAAACTTTAATCTGTCTACTTTTTCAAGTTCTTCTGATTTAGATTTTATGAACTGTTTTCAAGTCCCTGAAAGTCAGTCTTGTGAGCAGAACTCTCAGCAAGTTACAGATGCTTCAGAGGCATGCTATGCTGGGGCTTTGTCAATGTATCAATGTGTGTCTGAAACCCAGTCAAACGGCCCAGAGCAAATGCAGTATGATCCTGTATTATTGGAACAACAGCCATCAAACAAGGTATGGAACTAATACTTTTAAAACAGTCTTGTGGAATTTTTGACGTGTACGCGTGCTCACTGCTATAGTAAGCCAAAATATAGAGAATTCCAGTTTATCTTTTGAATATTCTTCTATTGTTTGTCCAGAAACTAATAGGGATAAAATATATTTAAACTAGGACTCCTGAACAATCAAGGTTCTCTTCTGATTCCTGACTACTTGGGAGTAATAGGTCAGCAATCCTGTCAGATTTCTGAAAATCCTAACCATTCTAAATCTTAAAGGGGATAGTATTGTACAAAATTAACAAATAATCCTTTAAAAATGTGCTTGGAGATTTCATTAGATTTGTTCTGCTTCTGGTTGTTTGATTAGGGGTTAGTCTGAAACAATAATGATTTTTTTAAATGTACGTATTTAATTATTTCAAATTGCTTTGAAAATGTGCTTCAAATTTACTTTCTGAAATGCCTGAAAAGAAAGGCACCCAATTAGGAGGCATAAAGGAGAAGGCTCTATTGATGTGCCTGTTAACTCTTCCCTATACTACATTCAGTTAATCAGTCAGGTAAGATATTCATTCACTCATTTAACATCTTGGCGTAGTCCAAGAAAATAGCACTGTTAATAGCAAGTGATACCCATTAGGATTCAGAAATAGCACATGAAATAGTCAAAATGATATGGAAGTACTCCAAATGGCACTGCCTTTACCAGTAAATAATAAAATACTGAAATGTATTTGTCAGGCCCTGAGAAAAAATCTATAGCAAACTAAACTGAGATGTAACCAGTGAGTGATCTTTTCCTCTGTTTAAGACAGGTAGCTGTTTTTCCCCCTACAGGCCAGTGTAACAGCCTGCAAGAGAGGCCATTGTACCTGAATATAACAGCAAGTCTATTTTGTCATCAGAGCCACAGACCAGTATAGTCTCTCTTGAGGTTCACACTGCAATGTTCCAGAGACCAGACAGCATCATCATCATTAAGATGTCACAGATATTTTATACAGCAAGATTTTTGTTGAAAAGAGAGATGAATACTTCTTTATTAACAATGGAATAACTAAACATAACTGTGGGCTGCCACCACAGTGGTCTGAGGATGAGACAAAAGCATTGTTCTATAGAAAAGTGGGACAAGAGAGAATTAACTACTACTAAGTTAACTATTTTGAAATCGGGTAAACTTAACTTTTCATAATGAATAAATTCATATTGGTTTCAATGCAACCTGGGGACAATTAGTTAAATCCAATTCTTTCTGTTTAAGCAATAAAATTATTTTTCTAGGTGTACATATTTTGCCTAGTTGTAGATTAAGATGGATTGGATGATTTCTGTTTAATAAAAGTTGATCTGTTTTCTAGTTTCAGAATATTTTTGCTGAAGAAACCTTTCGTGATGAATATCTACAGCAATTAAATGCTGTTAGCACTCAACCTGGAACACATCTTCAGCCACTTCATCATTCAACAGAATCCAGATCATTCTCAGATTTGGCATCCAATGGTTTTGTGTAGTTCAACAACAAAGTCCTGCAAAGAATTTGATCAAGGCTCTTAGTGGAGAATGAAAATCAGATATTGCACTTAATATGCATGCATATAGAATACGTCATTCAAAACTTAAATGTTTATATGTGGAAGTTGGAGCTATTATTTTAGCCTAAAAAGTGTGCACATGTCAGTGAGAGTATGCACCATTGTAATATAATTGCTGCATCACATTTAGAGCATAAGATAAGGCAAATGGTTTTATTGTTTTAAAAATAAAATGGATAGTCTGAGAATCTTATTTGGAATAGCATAAAAATTCCATACATTACTTCAAGCTTTTTTGAACCTGGTGTTCTAGTCAGAAGAGCAAGTAAAGCATATAGTTTAATTGCGTACTTGCCTATGATTTTCTGTTTCTTTTATTTTACACTTCAGGTTCTAGCACTTTAATAGAAAGATAGAAAAAATGAAATGCAATTTTAGGTTTTGTACAAGAAATGTCATTGCATTACTTCTTTACAGTTAGCCTAAGTGCCTCACAATGTAGCTTCATTATCTTCAAAAGGCACTTGTAGGAAAGGAGAAGATACTCATTATGAAAACCAATAGTCCGTATTTTATGGCTGTTCTTTTGTTGCTGTAGTTTGTTTGAAAGCGAAGGATATTACTTTAGCTTTCTATTTCTACTAAATATAATTTTGCTTTTTTAGGGCTTCAGGTAAGGCTGCTTGTAAGAGATTAAGATTTTTGATTTTATGTTCAGCTGCTTTTTTGCATTCTTCAGGTAGAACAGGGTAAAACAGGCATCTTGTAGGAGTATACACCTCCTAAAAACTATTTCTGAATTTCATATATTACATAAAAAAACATGTGCCTTATCTTGTGTTGCAATGCTTATTCAGAAGTCTTTTCTTAAAAAAAGCATAACCCTGTTCTATGCAAATAATTCCATTGAAATTGTTACTGAATGGTTAATTTTAAAAATAGCCTAAATAATGTTTTAGAAGTAAATACTATTAACTTTTACTTTAGCTAACATTTCTATACCATGTCACATATTGATTGGCTGCTGTTTCCTTTTGTTTCAGTGGGAACAGTCCACTGACATTAAATATCCCTGATGATTGCACTCTGAAAGAAAAAGCTCTTTCTATTTTGCAAATTCACTTTAAATGTCTTTGTTCGCCTGATAAAATTTAAAATTTATTTTAATTCAAATGTAGAAAGAAATTATCCTTGCAAAAGAAAAGATACTTTAAATTTTGTTTTAAAGTGTAAAAAAACCAAACCCTAATATTAGGGATTTTTTTTAACCTGAAGATTTTTTAGTAATGTAAGCACCAATGTTTGGTGTTTTGTAGTAGTTTAAGTGGGGGCAGGAAATATACATGTACAAGTGAATGAATGCCAATATATGATGTGTAGTTAACATACAATAAGTTCCATTTATAACATTATAAAATACTTTAAAGAAGGTAATTTTAAATTGTTATCCGATACACATACGTAACATATATTGCATAACTGTATACCGCAAATGACAGAGTAGTGTTGTTGGATTTTTTATTTTTTTTTTATGAAAATTTTGCCTCAGGATTACGTTCAGATTTTTGATGAAATAACTGTTTCAGTCAAATTTAATGAAAAAAAATGCAAGGAATGTTTTGTAGGTGCGTGACTGTAGGTGAGTTGGTTTCAAGTGATTCAAATGAGCTAGATTTAAAAAAAATTCCCAAATTTATATAATACAGATCTTCTAGAAAAGATTATTACGTAATTTGTACAATTTTAAGTTTAACAACTAGCACAACTTTTAAAGAGCTTTAAAAAGTACTTTTTGATTGCATACTACAATCAAGTAACATACATAAATAAATATAATTTTAGAACCATATTGTCTGTAAGGCACTAGAAGCTTTGCTCTGCCCATTTATTAGTTCAGTAGTAATTTAATTATTTCTGAAAATTTCATATGGTCTTGTTTCTAAATGATTTCTATTGCTTTTTTTTTAAAAAAAAGTACATGATTATTATTACTATTACAAGGGTAATGTTAGCAATCAGAAAACCTACTTTAAAAAGTCAAGGTTCAAAGGGATAGCGTACTTTTTATATAAAAAGAAAAATGTGGGAACAGTCACAACAAAAAAATTCTGTGTATCATTTCACTGCTATGCCAAATATTATCCAATCACGTAAGTGCCAAGGTTGCAATACAAACTGTGTGCTGCCTTATTGTAAGTTAGCTTATGTTATGCATAATATCAGCTGTTTTTCTTCATTAGGTTGTGCCTATATACAACAAACCTGTGTATTGGTGTTGCACTTTTGATCTACATCATACTCTTAAAAGCAATGGAATTCTGACTTAAAAACATACCTGTCTTCCCCTCATTCCAAAGAAATTATTGCCTAGTTTTAATCAGTATTAGTGCACCCTTTTGTAGATTATGTCTTGACTTTCTCTTTCATTCCCCATTCCCTTTTGTCTATGTTTTATGTTATACAATTAATTTCTTCTATGTAAGGTTATAATTTTGTAGTGCTTTTAATGAGCTTCAGTAAAACTTGTAAAACTTAATATATGGTAATAAAATATCTCCTAAATACACTGATCCATAATTTATTTTACAATACTTGGCTTATTTTATAAAAAAAACAAACATATTATTAGGGAAAATACAGACTTTGATACTACATTATAAAACTTTGTTTTCAGAAGTGCACCCTACATTAATGTCAGATAAACCACCAAATCAACACTGAACTGTTGTCCCTTCAGAAATTTCTTGCATAAATCCCTTGATCACCATGGCTACCAACACCAGAATTACTCAGTGGCTATAGATTGCTTTCCAATAATAACATGTTTCTGGACACATCAAATACTTGGGATACTCTTATCATTTTATCTACAAACAAATTATAATTACAAGTAGAATTAAGGAGAATGGAATAAATAGAAATAAAGTCAAGGTCTAAGTGTTATTTGCTGCTGTTTAGATTTGTTTACTGGGCAAGTAGACAACAGTTTTTTGAACCTTTTTCTAAACATCAACCTCAAAATGCTTCATAAAGTTGATGTACGTGCATAAAAGTATGTGTTTAAATATTTTTAAGATGCCTTTGAGGGCAATAGCACTGATTCCATTCTAGATTCAATCTAGAAATAGCTACTGAATTTCTACATCATAGAATGTAAATCTGGCTGGTATTCGGTGGAGACAGTTATGAGTGTGAAAATTCTTAGGTTGGGACCCTAGTATTTCAGTTCTGAAGAAATATTCTTCAGTGTATTATTCTATTACTAAAATTCTATTCTAGCGAATATTTGGAATAGATAACACCGGTATGTATGGAATTCCTTTCTTGCAATATCTCGCCATTAGTTTTAGTTTTTTAAATTGTAAAATAAATGATTTAAATAGATTTTCAAGTCAAGTTAAAAATACCAAAGCAATATATAGTACATAGTTTTGCTAGGATAAAATATACCTGTTTTTTTGGTTGTGCACATTATTCTGAGATTTGCATTTAAAATAACAGCCTGAAACAGAAGAGGGGATGTTGGGCTCTGAGGGTGGACTTAGTTGTCGATTTTCAACCATTTATTTAGAAATTATTCAGAGTTATAACAGCACTGAAAAAACTGATATGATTGCTCCTTGCACTTAGAATCACTGCAAGATCCTCACAGTCACCTAAAATTCAGGCACATGTATTTATGATGATTGCAGTCTCCTAGGGTCATATGATTGCCATTTAGGACCTTCCAAGTTGGCTTCTGATAAGCAGGAAGCCAAAATCAGTGATTTGCTTAACAATCATGGCAAAAATGATTGCAAACCACACACGATTCACTCAAAAATTACCTTGCTTAGTAATGGAAATTCTGGTCCCAGTGGTGTTCATAAGCCACAAACTACCTAAACAAAGTTTATTAGGATGTTTCAGAGTTAAAAATAGCTGGATTCAGAGTTTTGTCACAATTAAACTGAAAAGTAGTTTGGAGGGAGACTTAAAAGAAAAATAAGAAGGAAAGAGATCAAATTTAGAGAAAGACAAAAAAACGGAAGGGGGATGAAAAAAAATTGTGGGGAAAAATAAAGCAACAATCTTTTGTTTGAATCAGGAGACCACTAGGAAACTCTGAATTTGAAACAGTGAAACATCCAACAATTTTTGCCACAATGTTGCAAATAGTAAGACTGACATTATTGTGGCAATGAATTGAATAGGAAATCTACTCTGTTCACCTTGCAAAAAAAAAAAGTGAATTCTTTCCACCTTTTCACTTGGACAAAAATAAATCAAGAAAAAAAACCATTTGGATTTAAAGGAACTTGGTAACTAACCACAGACTGATTTCATTTGGAGAGAATATTTGGTCTGTATTTCAATAGAGATTAATTCAATTCTGATTAATCTGTTTAATTATTGCTATTGTAATATTCCTGTTTGTATTTTAGTTTGTTTCAAATAAAGTTTTTTTTATTGAATCTCTTAAAGTTTGTGCTTTCTAACACCTTCATCCTTTACTGGCCTTGCAGAAACAGATGAGAATATAGCTTTATTCTCTGCCTGGGGATGTTGGCATAAAGCCTGCAAAAGGGTGATACTGTTAGTGAGATTGACTGCACCCTTCCACAGGTGATGTTGGTCTTTTATGAGTTTGGTTAGTTTGTGTGTGTGTGTGTGTGTGTGTGTGTGTGTGTGTGTGTGTGTGTGTTTATAAGCTACCCAGAGTTACATAAATGAGCCAGCTGTTACATAAATGAATAAATAAGTATGCTATTCAAAATTGATCAGGTTTAAAAATATGACTCTAAAAAGATTGGCTTTAAACATTATTATGGGGATAAATGTTGGAAAAATGCTTTTGTTTTAGATTTATTTATTATTTGTTAAATTTATTTACTGCCTATCTTGCCCTGGAGATATTCTAGGCCAGGGGTCCTCAACCTTGGCAACTTTAAGACTTGTGGACTTCAACTCCCAGAATTCCTCAGCCAGCTTTGCTTAATAAAATAATAAAATATCTTTTATTATGATCTTTGAACAGCCTCCACAGTAAAAAAAACAGGAACAGTTCGATGCAACAATTCATTTATTGGGAAGAGAAACAAAACAACAGGACAATAAAACAACATAGGTCAGGAAAGGATTGTGTTGGAGATGAATATGTATTCATAGTGCTCACTGACCTCAAAGGTTATAATGGCTGCATATAATATTCCTTCTGTTGTGAAGTATTGCACATAAGACTCAACTGGAAACTAAACAGATAATCCACTTCTAGGAAAATTTGTAAATGAGTCCTTTTGGCAACCTATCCCCAAAACAGAAGTTTGGAAATGGATTGATGTAGAGAGGACCTTTTAAGAAAAGAGTGCAGTGTTTTTTATTTTAAAAAAGTCTACAGACATCACTCCTTGCATAAAACAGTAATGATAACTCTCTGGTTCTAGCCACCCACCCCGCAGACACCCCCGTGCACACACACAAACAGAAAAGCCAAGGGGGAGAGCGATCATAGTATAGAGTCTCCCCTCCTTTTGGGGAGGGAGACTTGGGCTGCCCATCCACTCCAACATATTCTGAGAGGCTTACAAAATCTAACACAAAGTCAAACAATTTAAAAGATTTGGTGAAATGATTTGACTTCACTGGAGGTTTTAAAGAAGAGATTGGGCCACCACTTGTCTGAGGCAGAGGGTTGGATTAGAAGACCTCCAAGATCCTTTCCAGCTCTGTTCTGTTGAATTACAACATCCTTGGCAAAATTCTGTTCAAGCAGATCACAACAACCAGACAGAACTACTTGTTAAGTTCTTCTTAATTAACAGATGGGTACCTTAAATAATGCCACCAGTTGATAATCAGCCAATATGGTACTTGAGACATGGGTAACATTTAGCCCCATGTTCACCATGGTATGAGCTTGAATTCATATCTATGCTTGATCAAGTTCACCTTTTGTCTTCTCCACCAACACTCCAGGCACCCACTTCTGTCACTTCATCTCCCAAAGTTCTTTAATAGACAGAATAATAAATTGGGACCAGTACTATTTCAGAAAGAACGTAGTTATTTACTACAGCTGCTTCACGTCAGTATCCATAAAATTGTTCCAAGGTTGCCAAATAGTTCCAATAGAAATTTGCCAGATATTCCAGACAAGATACTGAAATGTAAGGGCTGTCTTAAAAGAAATAGTGAATTGGTTGCTGTAGTAGAGATTTGCACAGCAAATATCATTGTGTGGTATTATCATGTGTTTGCAGCCCTGAAACTTGAATTTTACTATTGTTTTATGTTCTTTTGTCTCTCTCATAGTTGCTGGCCGGCCTTCTGTGCTCAACCTCATTTGTCTACAGTGCCATTCACTTTGATTGGCTTTGGCAATTCCTGCAGTTTTGCTAATGATATCTTAGATGTTCATGAATGCCACCGCCAATCAAATAAATGAGGTAATTGGGGAAATAATGTTAATAATAAGCAGCATTTTATCTGTGTTCATATTGTATAAGCATTTAAATTAGGAGCCATCTTAAAATAAGAGTTTATTCACAAGGCAAAATTTAAAAAAAGAAGCAAGGCAACATTTTTTACAATGAGTCTTGTAGCAGACAAAACACTTTTCAAAGGGAACCAGTTATATATAATTAGAGACAGATTTTGGTAAGCCAAAGACAGTTTTGATATTAAGCTCTCCTAAAAATAGTATTCAGCTTCAGCTGTGTTTATTGGTGCACTTATACATAATTCGGAATGATTTTAGTCAGAGGAATTGTTCAGATATTTTTTAATAGCTGTATGTTGTCTTTTGTACAAGCTTGCAGTAGATTTCAAAAACCCTTCTATTGCATAGCGCTTGTATATACAATAGATTTACAATAGATTCTGTTTAAATCATTAATTCAATTCATAGTCCCTGCTTGATTTATATTTCTGAATTATATTATGAAATTAAACTAATTCATAAGGACAATTCTATTCAGAAACAACTGTTTTTCCCCTACGTGCTGAAACATTGATTTGATATTTCTGTAACTATGAATTACCTGTTTTGGAAAGTCATTTTGATTTAGGGAATCATGAAATCAAATCTCAGTACTCAATGTTTTCATACTCCTAGTACATACCATAATACCACATTCTGGAAATACCAATAATAGAATAATCGCAACTGCTTTTTAAGAGTTGTTTTTCATAAGGAAGTTAGGTTCCTTTTTTGCTTTGCAGACTTTGGGGCTCAGCTCAGAGAACTATGGACCGGAAGGGAACAGAAAAAGACAAAAAATAAAGATGGATATGGATACAGCCCATACAATATGGCACAGGGATGTTTTAGAAACAAGATTCTATACATTCAACCTAGAGAAAGTCTGTCAATAATAATAATAATAATAATAATAATAATAATAATAATAATAATAATAATAATAATAATGATGATGATGATGATGATGATGATGATGATGATGATGATGATAATAATAATAATAATAATAATAATAATAATAATAATAATAATAATAATAATAATAATAATAATAATAATAATAATAATAATAATAAAGTTGGAAGGGACCTTGGAGGTCATTGAGTCCAA